CGGCACCATTGTTCATCATGGGCATTGGCGCGCCGCCGACAGGACCACCCATGGCATTCATATTGGCCATGCCCATGTTTGGGTTCATGGCCATTGTGAAGGCGAGACTCTTGCGGCCGCGACGCGAACAGGCGGACAAGTCGGTAGTCTAGACAAACAGGGTAGGCGGGATTGATAAAAGAGGACAGTCTGCCTCACAAGCCCCACGGAGAGTAAAGGGATACACACCCAAGCTATTGATAGAGCCAAAACCGAATCGCTGGACAGGGAAGCAGGAAAAATCCGTCAGGCTCCGACAGGCGTGGGCGTGGGTGAGAGGGGCGAGAGACGATCGGTCGAGACACCAGGCTCGGCAGGGGTTTCGATAATCGGTCGCGGCAGTCGAAACGGGAAGTCGTCGGAGGAGATCAAAATGCGTATTCCGCCAGGAGGAGAAGAAGAAGATGATGATGAATTCGCAGCGGGGGAGGGGGACGATGCGCACGTGCGGACAAAGGTGAAGTATAAAAAAAAAAAAAGAAGGATGATGGGGTAAGAAGTGAAGGTAGAGAGAGACAGACGGAGTTTCGTCTTGGGGCTGCGTGGGATGGAGAGTCACACACACACACGCTAATAATACACTTTCTCTGTGCAGCAGCAGCAGTCTGCACAGTCTGTCTGGTGCGTGGGTGCCTCAGCACTGGAAATCAAGAGAAATCCGCTGCACAACGAAGTGCCGTTTCCCGGGTCAAGATGCGCAACGTAGACCGCGTAGTCGTGCAAGTTGTTGCCGTCGTTGTCTGAATCCGCGTCACCGTCACCGTCAGCACTCGCGCGCCCTGAGCCGTGGAGACGATTTGTCGCGATGGACATGAATTAGATTCGGAAGGCTGAAGGAAGTCGAACTCCGTACTGTGGAGGCAATGAGGCCGGATGCGAGACAGGAACAGGGTGACAGGCTCGCGAGCACCACCATGGAGGGCCGTGCGAAAAAAGCAGGAACTCGGTATCGTGCGGAATGTGAGCCGCGCACTGTGCGTTTCGCGGGGTTCCCGGTAACACGGCCACAGTCTACGTCACAGTGTCTTCAGCGAAGCTATGAAAATTGAAAACTCATCAGGTGGCACTGCGAGAGCGAGCCCCCATCGCACAGTGTGAGCTTCTCGCCCATGGGCAGAAGCAAGAAAAAGAAACAACGTGTGCAAGCCATTCGCGGCCCTTTCTGCTGGCGTATTCATCAGACCAGTCGCGTATTTCCTGGCCCGCACGTCGCATGTACTGCCTCAGGCATCAAGCGGCATCAAGCGGCATCAAGCGGCATCAAGCGGCATCAAGCGGCATCATCGCGGTCCAAAGACTACCAATGGCAGCACAAAACCCATTTGCTGTGTGCAAATTCGATCACTCGTGGCCAATGAGCTGGACGCTTCTCGTCAGAGTTGATTGACGCCTGACCATGGATGCTGTCAACTTCGCGGGCATAGGCCAGCTGCGAGGACCTTTGGTGCCGGCGGTGGTATGGACAATGAAGTCAAAGGTCCAGACCTATATTATTGCAGGCCTTCTGCTCAGCAAACAAACAACGCTTGGAGCATCCTTTTACTAGACGGACGTTGAACTCTGAAATCACGGGTGAGCTTTTACCAAGGCAACTGTTCAAAGGGCCGTTGGTTCCATTCAGACACGACCATTTATTACTCCAAAGAAGCTGATTTCGAGGAGTGACTTACAGGCCATGTTGTGTGACCCACGTTTGCGACCGCATTTCAGTCACACCATATCGTTTCTATGCCGGCGTGTTCGAGGCAATAATAAGTGCCCGAGAAAAGAGTCCTATGCCGGCGTGTTCGAGGCAATAATAAGTGCCCGAGAAAAGAGTCCCACCACGCTGTAGCCCTCGCATGTGGCTTATCTGATATTCGTTGACGGCATTGTTTGCAAACATCAACAGAGTTAATAATGCCGGATCGGTAGGAGCTCGAGCGGCACCTGTAACCTTCAATTCCAAAAGTGTAATGTATTGCGATTTGGCGCTTCTTGACACTTCTTTTCCAATCATAAATAACATCTTTCGATGGGGTGTCATTCTGACATTGATGCTCGATGCTCGACTGACGGGTTCCTGTCGAAGATCGCCGACATGGATATGGTGGAGCTGTGATTGTCGATAACTCCACTCACCATTATTCTGGAGGAAGCGTGGGGAGGCGGGAGTCGCGATGTCGATAACGAAAGTGCGCACGTTCTTTTGTGCAAGCGATTTGGCAACGCGTACTCCGTACGACAACTTCCTATGCGCGAGTGATACCTACCAGAAATCGATTCAGTGATGAGCGACGGTTTTGATTCGGTATACTTTGATCAAGGCCAACACGCTGGGCGTTTTCAATTTTTGAATCGGAAAGAATTCTACTGATAGCAAGTGTGGGCCGCCGTAAAACAGCCCACAATGACTTGCAAGAAGATGATGTAAATTCATCATAAAAGAGCAATAAAGGTCCATGGAAACCTACCACGTCTACAACGTCATACCATGTAGGGTAGCGCCTCGGTTCCTGTCCCAAATCGCTGACCTCGATCACACTGCTGCGATCATCCAAAAGGAAACAAGAGACTAACCCGAGTTCTCCCACTATCGAGTAGAGATGATGTGATTCAGGACTACATACTCTGTACATAGGCATTAGCTATTCCCACCGTGGGAGCTATTTGAGGAAACGTTGAGCTGAGCCAATGAGAGACCCATTCATTGACTGGCCCACTATTCACACAATTTTGTGGGCGGAAAAATTTGACACCATCTTGATGATACACGATAACGGCAAATTTTTCATCAAAAAAGGCGGAGTGTCCGAGTGGTTAAGGAGAATCATTAGAAATGATTTGCGTTCGCGCGCGCAAGTTCGAATCTTGTCTCCGTCGGTTCTTTTGCTTCCTAGTTCAATTAGAATTTTTTGACATTTTGGTGATAGGCGGGGCGGGACATGCCGTGAGAGAACATTCTCTTTTGCTTTTGCCAGGTCAAAGGCCACCAATGCGCATCATTTATAAATTCACTCGTGTTAGAAATGGGCAATGTAAATGACAAAGTGAACAAATGCAAGCACATTTTGATTTGGTGATGGCGCTGTGTGATACGCGGGGCGGCTAGGAAAGTAGGAGCGTTGTCGTCTGGCAAACTGATGCTAATGCTAAAGACGCATTGTGTGCCTTTCATAGTTTGATTTGGTTTGGCTTCCTATCATTGGTTAAGGCGGAGTGTCCGAGTGGTTAAGGAGAATCATTAGAAATGATTTGCGTTCGCGCGCGCAAGTTCGAATCTTGTCTCCGTCGTATCATTTTGCAATTAACGACACCCAATGGCTGGCGATTTTTTTGATAGTTGTACAGGCCGCTTTGTGACGTTTGAAATGAGCAGCCAGACTGCAAGATTACGTATCATTAGAAAAAAGACGACAGGGCCCAGCGGCTAAGTCTCACTTTGAAATGGAGATCGTGAGACAAACTTGCTCGATCGAAATTATTCACTCAACTGCAGAGGCGCCTTCCGCAGACGGACGCCATATTGATCGGCAGAGCTGTAGCCTATGAGAGAGGTACGTCGACTAATCCTGGACAACGCGTCTCATGGTGAACGAACACTTATGGCTGCGAGAGAGAACCATGCAAGATCGATTGAGAGTCTAGTTTCTCTCCGGCTCCCGCCTGGCTGGATTGTTGATGTCCAACTTGGCCATGTGGACGCCGTATCTTGGCCGCATTCAACTAGCAGCCTCACAAGTGGCCTGAAAGAACTAGTGCTGACCGACAGCATCTCGTCACTCCACCTGTGACGCGATCCCCATAACGAGGGGACGATGAGCCGCTTGTGCTGACGGAGGGTCGTACTTTCGTTCCTTTCCTTCTCCGTTGCTGCACAACTCATTGTCACGTTCTCGAGTCTCCCCGAGTACCAACACATTCACATCATGGCCATCGAAAGCGGACTACCCTCTCGTTACGAGATCCGAGTTCTAGAAAGCAAGCACCAAGATTGGGCCAGTGCCATTGTCATGCACAGCAACATTTTCCACTCTCCCGTTTGGCCGGTCCTGTACCCAGAAGGCCTCGCAGAGCGGGCTTATGTGGGCCTCAGCTCAGCAGGGTATCTTGTCGAACACCAAATCAGTTCCGGTCTATCTCTGGGTGTTTTTGACAAGGAGTATCAGTTCAAGAACCCCGAGTCGGCTGCCACTGGAGGCAAACTATACTGGGACTCCAAAGACAAGGGCGCCGATGGCGGCAAACTTCTGGACCAAATGGACTTCCCGCTCGTGTCAGTCGCCCTTGCGTACGACAACTTCAATCACCTGGACATGGAAAAGATGAAGCCCCTACTGACGACTCTACCTGCCTTTGGGCCAATATATGGAGTTCTCGCCAAATTCGACAAACGCGATCCCGCGGCCTGGGAGGCCAAGGGACCGGGGGAAGTTGTCATGCGCAATGCTACCAGCACTCGACGCGATTACGAAGGCAAAGGCATCATGAAGAAGCTCGCCCACTACATGATGCGAGATGTGGCGGCCAAAGGCTGGCGCGGAATCCAGATTGAGTGCTTCAGTGACGCCGTTATTCATGTGTGGACAAATCCACCTGCGCCATACAGAAGTGAAGAGGTTAGTCAATTTCACACCTGGTCATACGAAGAGGAGAATGAGAAAGGGGAAATGGTCCATCCATTTCGACCTGCCAAGCAGAGGATTGTGAAAGTGTATTGCTACTTGAAGGAATAGAGGTTAGCAGATGAAAGAGGATCAACAACAAGTAGAAATTTGATTTCCTGCGAGTATCACCTCACTAGGCGCGGGGCTGTCTTTGGTACAGTGCAGTGCCATTAAAGCTAATTATTAAAACTGGAAACTTTGAACAAGTTTCGAAAGACCCAAAAACAAGATGAATGAAAAAAGACAAACCCATAGATAGGTAAAGATCACTCCGTAGCGGAACGAAGGAAAGATGTGAAAAAAAAAAAGCCGGTTCGACAAAGACAGGATTTGAACCTGCGCGTCCGAAGACATGGCATTACTGCACGTTGATTGTACTTTCGAGTGCCACCCATTAACCACTCTGGCACTTTGCCATGGATGAGCTACCACTCTAGATTTGTATATATAGTAAAGTCTGCAAGAACATTGCAAACACGCTTGGACATTACTTGTCGTGGGCACCATGGCCGGCTTCCTGGTGCAAGGCGACCGGGAAGAACTTGACGGATTGTCACCCGGCGCGGTCCAACCGCCTCAAGGTGAAATGGCTTTCCTGATTGATAATTCTGCTTCTTTTCATTTCTTCTACTTCCTCCCTGCAATCCCTCACTTCCTACAGACGCAGGAATAGAGCTTCGTCCTGACATGAGCATGTTTAGCGATGAGGTGAAGACCCGAAATGGTGCATCAAGTTTTTTTTGGCCAGATCGCGGTACCGAGTCAGCCGAATAGACGCGGCACAGTAATGAATGTCATAAATTGCTACAATCTCAAACGCTCACCATGCAATAACATGACCACGCCCCTGCATGTCCTACCCTCACTTTGTGCAGACGATTGAATTGTCCACCCTGTTCTCATTGCCTAGCGGATCCCCCAACCTCTCACCTAATTGCACAACAGTATTTTCATAGATCCTCGCCGCATCCATATGGAGCCTCTCCTCGTCAATGTCCCATCCGAGTTCTTCGGCTGCACTGTCTTCACCAACATCAGTGCTGTCCCCCTCCTCCCCCTCCTCCTCCTCCTCCACATCAGCACTACTCAATATCTCTACCATCAGAATCCGAGTCTGCTCTACTAGGCTCCTGCACCGGACCATGTCTGTAGTCGTCATCCCTGCTCTCAAGCCATTCTCGAATCCGGGTAGATATTCCTTGGAGTCGATGTCCTGCCCACATAATAGACTGGCGAAGCAATGATCCAGCCTGCGGAGGAGCTCGAAAGTTGCGCGTGGCGATGGCGAGAATGAGCGGACGTACTGGGTGAAGTCGCTTGCCACTTTTAAGAGAAATGGTATTTGCAGACTGGCTGAGGGGCTGTTAGCAAGAGCGGTGGGATTTCCTCGGGGAATCTGTGAGATTACCTACGTGTACCCGATTTCCAGAGAACATTGACTACACCTTCTAATTCCCTGCATACTTCCCCCATAGACTTGAAGCCAGTGACTGTGTCGCCGGAGGCGGGGTTGCCGAATTTCTTGACGTATCGACGGGATATGTTGAGGAGCTTCTCTTCGACGAATCGCCGGACAAGATCTTCTTTGCTGGAACCTGGTCTTAGGGAGTGGGCGCGAGGATGTGGGAGGGCGCTTGCCGCACGGCTTGATGTGGAGGAGGGAGCGGGAGAGGGGAGCCCGGTTTGCGGGAGAAAGCCGCCTGGCTCTTGGGAATTCTCATCCATACTGGACGATCACGAGTTGCGCAGAGATGTGGTGTTTTGTATGTTTCAGATTACTGCAATGTGTGTTGGTGGGTGTGAATGAGTCGTCGTGAAATTAGAGGTGGTGCCCGTCTCTGACTGGACGTATTCAGAGCCGTCACTAATTAGTTAGTTAGTAATAAGATGGGCTTTTGAAAATACAACCTGGTGAATAAAAGTTGTATTTGTTACACTCGACTTTCTTGAGGCTGCGAACCATTGAGATAGCGCCAATCATGTGATGGCAGGTGGATCCGCGCGCAGACCCGAAGTCTCGGAACGAAAAAGTCGTCACTCCAAGTCCATCTGTCAACGCAACACATCACCGTCTTTTTTTCCCTCCAAAACTCTGTCACGCATTACCAAGATGGCTCCCAAGAGAATCCATGGCGAGAAGCCCCGACGCGCTCCCAAGGGCGTCCTTGCTTCCACCTACGACACCTTGACTTCTCCTGACAATGCTGCCATTGTGCGAAGCATTGCCATGTTCGGCGTGAGTTTGCAGAAAGAGCATCGCCTTCGACGCTGCGATGAATACAAGACTGACCATTGCCACTTAGGCCGCTGTCACTTTTCTTGCCAGTCCCTGGGGCGAGCTGCTACTGCCTCCGTATGCGACCACACACCACGACTCGCGTTCGGGCGATGACTAAATGCTAACTTGTCTTTTCTGCAGCCAGTAATTGACCGAAATTCACATAAAACCTGTATAATAGATGACAACGATTTGTACGCTAGACTGCTGACATACCGCCGGGATTGGGGAAGAGGAAACCAGGAACGAAATCGATACAGTGGATGGGACGAGGGGTGTAGAGCTTGAGCCCAAAAAGCGGCGTTAATCCATGAATAACTTCTCAGCTTTGAGTCACGATGCACACACACACTTTTCTGTATCAAACCCCGGGTGACTGATTGTCTTCGACGATGTTCCTTCGATGCAGAACTGGCTTCATGGGCGATAGGCTGTACCGGTTCATGGAGAAGGAGCGAGACTGGATGCGAAGTACAACTTGGCGGAAGTCTCCTTCCCCACAAACATGAAAAATGCACGAGCGAGCCATCGCATGCGGAAGGCATTTCCATTCGCAGAGTAAACAACTTGACAAAAGCCATCAAAAAGACTCGGGAGCATCACCACGACTCCTGCATCAAACCGTCGATCTCACGAAAACTCTCAAATCGAAGCATGAAGGGATCATATCGGGAACAATGCCGATTCGCTCGTTGTTAAACAACCAGTCAGCCCACAATGATTCACGTCACTCACCCGCAACACCATGGAATGGCCACGATCCCTCGACAGAAGCGCCGATCGCAAACGGGTAGAAGACTGTCTCATTTGGTGTCCAAGTTTGAGATTTTGGATAGTTTGTCGCGCCAGAGCAAGTCATTGCCAAAAAGCAAGACCGGTTTACCCGGTGCTGAGGACTCTACATCAGACCTCAATAGACCACCATCTAGCACTTCCTCTGTATCAGCTCTATCTCTTTCAGATCCCGCGACAAGTTAGAAGCCCGGGACTGAGGGACACAATTCCAGCTCATTCCCCGGGCGAGGAGAACCGCCCAAGAATGACGACGACGACGACGACGACGACGACGATGTATCCGGCTCAGCAGAAACGCGCGTTTCAATGGTCGCAGAACGTAGGAGGCTTTTTGAGGTGAATCTCGGAGATGCCAGGCTCAGTACGTACCAAAAGCACATCTAGTGAAGCCAATGGTCATTTCTCAGATTCTGAGCTGAAAAGACTTTGGGGAGACGCTGACAAGCTCTGCCTGGGTAGATGCACCAATACACCTTGATCAAACGTCTGGCTGTCCAGCGGCCAAAGTTCCGCTGCTGTCCAAGTGGCAGACTCTTCGCGCCGGGTCTCCAATGCCCTGCATGGCCCAGAGTCAAACAGCCGTCCTATCTCGTCCTACAATACCAAACGCATCCAAACGACTGTCTGGGTACCTGCCGCTGTTGCCGTCGACGTGCCCTTCGCTTCCTCAGGTGCAGATTGCTACGCAGTCTCATACCCTATCGGATTGTGTACAGAGCTGCATGAAAGATGGCCAGTCGGCCAAGGGTTGGAAAAAATCCATTGTTGCACCAGGCCCCTCTACCCCTTCCCCCACGACCAAAGGCAAACAGGCACAGCCTCATCAGCTCATGTATCCTAGTGTAGGGGAGCTGGTGCCAGATGCAGATGAGGACCAGGAAACCCCACGTGCAAGTGTTGTCATGTCGTTTGAGACGTTGTCCTTGCGACGCGTCGATGTTCAAAGTTCCATCATCGTGGAAAACCGGCACACCACATCTACTGGCGATGAAATCGCTCATCGTGAAACTGCCGGAACTGAAAGCCCTGGTCCAGTCCACCAAATCGAATCCAGCATACCAGGCAGGTATAGGAGCCCCTGCGGCATCAAGACGAAGAAAGCACAGCCAAGTCACGACATGATGGATTTGAGCTTGAACTCTTCGTATCAGCCGAGTTCTTCACACATCATCAGTACACGGCCCCCGAAGGAGAAGCATGTTGAAGCCGTGGTTGCGAAATTGGAGACAGGTCCAAAGAAGCCGATGAAGCCCGCCCGGATAAGCAACACCATTGACCATTTCGAATCACTCATTTCTGGAGACGGGTCGAATGGCAAGCACAAAAGCAGCATTCGCCTACCGAAGCGCCTTGCAACTTCATCATCCTGTCATTTGAACAAACCCGACGGCAAGATAAAGACGGGAGCAGCGGAATCGTCTCGAAGAAAGTTTTCAAGTTCTTGGGGGCCGGCGAGATTCCGCAAGAGTCGCGCACCCAACAGTAGTGACGCAGCACAGCCAAACAACTCGGATGAGCCTTCGCATGAAAAGCCCAGCCGGCAGCGCTTGGAAGGCGATCAGCTGCCTACCGATGGTACTGTTGAACAAAGCCCCCCAGCTACGGAAAACTGGCCCGGCAGGTTTCAAAACAATCATGACACCTGCCACGTTGCACAAGTTCAGATGGCCAAGACGAGAACAACGATGAGCAGTCGTCTCAGGCCGAGAGGACCACGGCCACAGCCAGTGACCACGGCCGAGAATGGGAGCATGCCTCAATCGGCGGAGCAGGTGAACACCGACGCAGACTTGCACGCAAACGATGGCCACGGCAGCTGGAGACGCAGAAGACGTTGGGTGTCGCGAAGTAGCATTCCATTAGTTGCGCAGGCCGACTGCGCCCTGCAGCAACCCAAGCCGATACGGGTCAGCGAAGTAAGGCGACTGGTGAGTTTGTGCCGGGACAAAATGACGGGGCGGAAGTATCGAGCACAAACAGATTAATCGAGCTCGTGTTTGTCGTGTTTGTCGTGTTTGAGGAAACGCGTTTGTGACACGGCCTATATAGGAATGGTGCTGATTTATCAGATGCAGCCCACGAACGGCAAAAGGTAGCCAAATGATGATGGAAGGTGCAATATTGATAAACGATGAGAAGGACAAGGATGGCTTGTCACTGTATGTCTATGTTTTTAATTTTGATGAATGGGAAATTGTGTACAGCGCTTTCCCACGCTCAAGAACGAACATGTTTGATGCTCTCAGACGACACTTTGTGTGCATGGGGTTGAACTGAGTAGATGTGTGAAACTTTGAAATATTCTGACAGTAGAGGCGCACTTTCTAATCCTTCCCTCACGGG